TAATGCGAATTTCAATGAAGTCGTCAGAAAATAATTTACGTAAGGTTCGTGGAAGTTTATCCTCAACAGCCATAGAGTTTTAAATGACTACCTACTTCCACCCGTGCAAAGCTGGAGCGGATGCTAGTTAAATATAAGATTACTTCAGGAATTAATTTTCTCTGAACATAATAATAATGAACATACAAATACACACAAATAAAACTCATAAAAAATGCAAATCATTTATTAAACATTTTATGAAATCTACATCTTCGTATTTCCAAATTGCGTATTCAAGTTAACAAATTAAATACAAAATTTCTATAATAAATTACTCTGTGAGCTAGGAATAATGGCAACATAAAAATTACGACATCTGCCAAAACTCGTACGTTATTACAGGATGTGATGTGATACATTTTGTTGGTCGTTACCTTGTGAACAGTTTTAAACAATTGATGTATTTTCGAATAATACCGTATTGTACGAGACAAGCAGATAATCTTGGCTAATCTATAGCAACAGTAGCAGATAAAAAGTACCATTGAAAACGCACCGTTGAATTTTTCACTTAACCAGAAGACTGCGGTCGAATAGAATTGCTGTAGAGAAACGAAGAATAGAATTGGTATAGCCATGGCTAAGCTCCTTTGTGAAAATACTCGTAGTTACATAATTTAAGGACTTAACACACAGTAATCTTAACATGATCTATTTGAAACCAACGGCAAGTCTTAATCGATTTGTACTTGCTTCAGCAATACCTAAAAAAATTTGGAACAATACAGAGAAGATTAGAATGGCCCCAGCGCAAGGATCTACAAGAATAGTAAGGGTTTACAGGCATTTCTTTTCTAGATATGACTCATAATGGAACAGTGTATGGTTTAATTCGCTCGAGTCCACTGAAACGGATCGGGAGAGGGCCGATCCCGAGCGAAGAAGACGTCAGCGGCGGTATGAGCCGCCGACTGGACCGCAGGCCGCCAGAGAGTGGGGACCTCTGGTGCAGATTGATTACTGCGGTAAGGAACATGTTGACGGCATTGCATAAAAATGCGATAGGGTCGCAAGACTAAGTGATAGGCGGAGGAAATCCAAAGGCTTACCTCGGAATAGAGCCTAGTCACCTACTAGCCGTTAATACGGGGCGAGGACCTGAAATCACATGGTCCGGGTCCTCCCCAGAGTAGGGCGCCTGAGGCCGGCTGTCGGGGTTGTTGTTTTTAGTGGAAACCCACATACTCCTGGGTCCTGCATCCCCTAGAGTAGACTGAAGTTGTTAAATTATATTATTAATAAAATGTTAGCAGCGCACGATACGCAATCTCGCAATGAGAATATTTCAAAGCACACCATTGTTTAGGGTTTCCTACCTGATATTGAAAAAGGGACTCTTATTGGATTACTTCGGTGAAAGTAAATTGAAATTAACATCATATACTATAGTTAAACCGCCGTAAGTTTGGCCCTCCTGATGGTTTGCGGGACGCGGGGCGGGTGATGCGCTCGGCTATACATGACACGACGTACTAACTCGAAATCTTCAGATTTATTTGTTTGAGATTTAATCTACACACGATGTAATAAAAATCGAATTTATTTCCATGTATTATAATGTCAGTGTATTGTAAGTTTTTATGATTAATTGTAAAATTTAATACTGTAAAATAATTTTAATAAAATCACCTTCTCTTCATCATGTAAATTATATTCAGATACAATTTAAAAATTAAGTAAAATAATAAATATTCTTTATTAGAACTTTAACAGTAGAACCTCTGTAAGCCGAACTTCAAGTTTTTAAATCTTTTTGTGAAGCAGAGTCGGCAGATTATACATGTTGCAAAATAATACCGTGTGTAGCAGTCTTAAGAAAAATAACACGTACGGCCATGCTTTCACGTCAGTCACTGCCGGCGGACAGCGACGCACTAGCTAATTGGTTGAATGCACCCCCGCCCCGCGTACCCCAAACCATCAGGAGGGCCAAGCTTACGGCGGTTTAACTATAGTGTATGGAATCACTATCAGCTATTAATAATTTTCTAAGACAATACAAATAAAGGAGAGGATTAAGCCTCATATTTTGAAAAATATTAACGCCGAGTAAGAAAAACCTAACCTTATAGGACACTTCCTAGGAACAGAGAATCATGAAAAGCAAAAAGTAAGGTATCACTGCCCAAGTAAAGGAAAAAACCCATTATTTTGTCATCAATCAAAGTCATTATTTTGTCGTTATATTACATAAAACCATATGTTTTTACTATTGAGTACAAACTTATATATTGCCCTTTTGACATAATAATAATAACTTCATTAGGCGAGTCAGACTTGCACTTAGCCGGTTTTTTTCTTTAAAGAAGTTCAATTAAAAGCATATTACATAAAAGAGATAAAACCGGTCAAGTGCGAGTCAAACTCGTGCGCCGAGGGTTCCGTACCGGGTTAGGGTTACGTACAGACTTCACGTAGATTTTCAACTTTTTTATTTTTCAGAATTTTCTCTTAAATAAAGGAATAATTCCAAAAAATTAAAAAAAGTTGAAAATTAAGATAAATTTTGGTACTTACAAATTTTCGCGAAAATCTAAATTTGCCCATATCTTTTGATCGCGTTGACTCAGGATCTTGATTTTTACACCTAATAGGGACTATAGACCTCAGTATCTGGTATTTGCTAGGTCCACCTATTCCTGAGAAAATCGGTGGAGACACACGGACAGACAGACGAACAGACGGACAAGAGAGTGATCTTAAAAGGGTTCCTTTTTTACCTTTTGAGGTATAGAACCCTAAAAATTAGTAAGATACTTATAGAAAGTACACCACAGCCTCTCTTTACACAGAATAAAAAATGTAACGTCACGTAAATATATTATGGCAGACACGTCTTAACGCAAGAAAAAAACTCGGAAATCTGCTCCAAGTCCAAGAACAGATATTACATGTACTCGCAGCCCCAAGGATCTGAAAGTGAGTTTGTTTGTTACGCTTCGCACCATAAATGTCTGTTCTGATCGTCATGAATTTTGCGTTTTTGCACTTTTATATGCAAAAGCTATAATAGGCTGTTATTATAATAAATTAATTTCTTGAAATTATTAATTTAAGACAAACCTACATAAAACATTATTCTGAAAATTATTTTCAAACTAAAAGCAAGTCATGAATAGTAACAATAAGCCAATATTTATCAAGTGTTTCTCTATATGTCCGTTCACTATTAGTTTTTATGGTGTGATCCCAAATACATTGGAAGTCAGTAATCGTATTTGCACCATATGCACTGGCCCATAAAGCGGCCGTACGAGTGTATTACCAAAATGCTTTGTAGTAATAGAAAGAAAGTAATAGAAATATATATAGTCCAAAAATGGTAAATATTTATCAACTTGATTCCATAAAAAAATTAAAAGCAAATGTAATTTCTACTGTTTTTATTGGGAAACTTTGTGCGTTTGGCAAATATAAATACACAGTTATATGTAAGTAACACAATGGAAGCGTTTCTGTATGTATATAAATTACTCTATTCACATTTCAAAACCACGATCACAAAAACTCATTAGCGACGACATGACCTGACGTCTTACGATTGCAAGTGTAAAAATACTTTTCCCTCTGAATGAAATGAAATAATAATCTAAAAGCTTGAATATAAATAATTTCTACCTATGCTTTTTAAATTTTGAAGGCAAGAGATCAACATATTTTTCTCTAGATACTTTGAACAGTCACCTGTGACTGCAATTACTCGTAGTCAGATTCACCACAGACCCAAGGCCAATTCCTGGGGTCCGTGATGAATCACGTTTTGATTTCTTATTTTGATTCATGTTACTGATGGTATCATACTGATGATCAAGTACATTTATTTATTTTTTGATGGCTAAACTATTTACAACACTACTTCTTAGTTATAATAAATATTATATAAATCAAAACCAAAAGGTACAGATACCAAAAAGGAAATATTATTAAAAAACAGCAAAATTCTGCTTGTAAAGTAATAAATTTTTTATTGTTGGAAATAAACGCAATAAAAGAAAATTCTACCATCACAAGGTTCAACAATGACTGTAATATATTTTTGTTTTGTTTGGTTTATTTACTCATCCGTTAATATAATCATCAACAGTCTTTAATAGTCCACTGTTGGACTAAGGCCTCTTCTTAGCTCTCTATATCAAAAACAGCATCAAATCGCAATTTGTTAATGTATCATTTATACATATTTAGGAATTAATTTATCTTAATTGTTGATTGAAAAATATATTTCTACCTTGCTCTTTTTCCATATTGAATCTCGTAATGGTAATATATATTTGTTTATTGTGTTATAGGCAACATTAACCTTTTAAGTAGATTTTTACCGTTTCCAGTACCACCCCTGTTAAATTTGAGGTTCATTAGATTAATTACACGTCTAGTATGAATTTTAATTATAAATCTGTAATATTGCTCGTTTTAAGTTGATAAATGAGTAATGAACGATAAATATGCTAAACAGTTTTAGAATGTCTGCAAACTTGTAATTTTTGAAATTGTTATAACTCAACCATTAACAGCTAAAGAGTAGGGTATAAAAATATATCATCACACTTGTTTAGACAATGCTGACCGCCTGATGTAACATCTCACTTAAAACTTTTAAAAAAATCAAACAAACAGTTTAAAATATAAAGTGAAACCATTTTGTTTTTGCTGATATTTTCATACAAACGGAGCCACATACTGTAAGTTTGATTTAATCTTTTTGGGCTGCGTTCCCTACTAGCATTTTGAACGCGGCAGTATTTCAGCAGTAATATGGGTATTTTAATTCTAGCCAACAAGGACACAGCATTAAACCTTGACCTTGTCTATGAATCACGCAGAAGCCTTGATCAAGCTTCGTAAAATTCAAAGTAACAGAACAGCAATTGCGTTTTATGAGAGCATCTTTATATTGATGTATCGGCGCCTGTGCGTATATCAACAATGTTTAAAATAGTTAGACAAAAATGACTTATTTACACTGAAGATTCATAAATTACAATCTGTACTATAGGAGGTTTTTGTGTAGTTACTGGCGCCGTGATGTCCCTGATGACAGCTTCTACAGCCGCCTCCAACTCTAACCTTCGCTTGTCTGTTAAAGCATTTCCACCAGCACCGCTTAACCGTGGCATTGTAACCTATAACAAAAACACTCATTACCTCATCATCACACTGGAATTGTAAAACTGTAATATTTTAAATTACATTTTGTAAAATCTGGCATCTACAAAAGCGGCAGAGTAGAAAAAAATAGATACATTTTAAACTCTGCGTTTCTTTTGTACAAAAACATTCAAAGAGCAAGTTTAATTGCTTCCGAAGAAAAATAAGTTTGGACAGCAGACTCATTTATTACCGTTAGAAACGAATGCTTTTCTATTCTCAAATTTCTCATCGGGCAAAAATTAGGTCCAATTTGCGCTGCCTTCTTTAAGAAACATTATTTCAAACATTTTGAGTAATGAATATAACATTATATAATTAAAGACGAAATCCCATATCAAGCAGAAAAAATCATACATGAAAAGAATCTTCTTTTCATGAAATAAATAGTGTAAATGACCTTTAAGTCAAATTAGTACCTTCTCACTAAACATCGGAACTTTAGGTTAGATATATAAATATGAAAAGTACGGTAGGCTATATATATTTGGTGATGCATTTTGCATTAACTAACTAGACATGACGCCTTAGTGTTTGTTGTCCAATTGACTTTTAAATCGATTTCATGTTCGACAATTTTTTAGATTATTTCAAGAGTTAATTAAAGAGACTAGGATAAGAAAATAGGGGAGATAATAGAAAAAGACTAGAGAGAAAAGCTTGTTCTTAACTTCTTAACTAGCTGAGAGTAGTTTCGGTGCCTAACTTGAGTATTTGAGGTTGTTGATATTTTACGAATGAACTTCTAAAAATATCCTAACTATATAACAATACTCAATTGCCTTCATTGCGGGCTACACCCATAGAAATCGTAATAATAAGACACTAGAAGTCGCCGTAATGATGTGTAGACGAACACCACTCACAGAAATTAACACCATTCGTGATTGAGTGGCGCGGAGCGTCGTATGTGAATTTATATTGTTAAAATTCACCATTTGCAATGCAGCATAATGGATTATGAAAATGCATCAGGGACGTGTAATTCAAATAATAAAGGCATAGCATTTCATCGGTAAGTTAATTTTTTATTAATTAATCTTTGTTTTTACTAATTTACATCTCGATGAAGAATTTAATAAGATGATTGCCTTTGTAAAGAGACATTTATAACTTTCCGTTTTGTACAATTACTATAGCTGCTTTAGTTCTTATTGCATATTGACAAACTAGCAGAAGCATTAGATACGGTGGTGTGCTGCGTATGTTTATAATACGACTGTAGGCATCGGTCGCCAGTTAGTGATGTAACCGGTCCATTCATTTGAATGAAAATACAGTTATATCGATGTTAGTATAAAAGGATATTTTTCAGATTTTCGAACGTAAAAAAACTAAACGCAGGTAAAATATTCTTAATATTAATTATACAATAATTTCTTTAGTAATTTAATTATTTGTTTAAGTTTGCGTATTAAAGTCATTAAAGTAAATGTAAAGAAAATGTTATCTTTTTAAGGAGCATAAATAATCATATTACTATTTATTATCACAAAATTATATTTAATTTCCAGATTCCTGAAAGATCCTGATTTTAAAGAAAACATTTTAATTAAATTTCTTTATTTTACGGGTCAATAAAATTATTTTGTAGAGTTGCTAATAACATCAACTACTCGAGATACTAACTTATACAGTTGACGAAAAAAAAAAGGAAATCGCTCTGTTTAACTTATTTCTACATAAATAAAATTCTAATTGTTACGTGAAAGAACTATTTGTTCAGTAATAGCTTATTATTTAATTTTTTTGTGCCTGTGAGTTTTAGTGTTTTTGTTTTAATTTTTGTTATTCATCAGATTATTTTAATTTTCATTATAATAATAATAACGCCATCTAGTTTTAAACTAAGCAGAGTTTGTAGTATGAAAGTTATATTGGCTGCTAGAATGATTTTATACTTTTTTTGTGAAACACATATTTGTGGATCGTACAAAAATTTGGTCCGACCTGGGAATCGAACCTGAGACCTCAGTACAGCAGTCGCAAAAACTACTACTGCGCACCGAGATAGTCTTGTTCTTGCAATTGTTTTAAAAGTGTACGCTTTTACCTGGATTAATAAAGTATTTTAACTATTGATTTTAAATAATAATAATATTTGGGACATGTGTCACACAACGCCATCTAATTTCAAACTAAGCAGCAGTACTATAAAAACTAGATTGACTGATAGAATACTTATATACTTTTTGTAAATACATACATATTAAATATAGAAAACACTCAAGGTACTATTCATTTATAAGTATTATTACTGTTAAAATATTAAAAAAATATGTATCTATGGTTTTCACTGCTACTTGTAATCCATTTTATTTTAATGTATATAAAAAAATATCGACACCTTCGAAAAAATTAGTCAATCCCTAGTATTGTTTACAGGGATTCTCATACATCGAAGGAGTTTGCAGTGGTGCCACATAATACATTGGAGTAACATGCAAAGTTTTTTCTGGACATTAAGGTTCATAATAGTTTGTGCCCTGTACATTTCACCGTTGTTTTGTAAGTGTGTGCGAGTCTTATACCTAAGTTATATAGTTACTTATATAGTTAAGATGTGGCGACAACGGTTCTTGAAGTAATCGAGCGCTAATTCATTTCTAGTGTCTTATTATTACGATTTCTGTGGTGACACCAAACGATCAGATATATTTTTTATATACCATAGGTCTAAAAAATATCCACGGCTGGTTCTCGAAACTTCAGAACGAATGGTATAATGATTTCAGTTTTTATGACTACTTTATTGGGAACTATAAGACTATTCCGAGACATTTATCTTATAATCTTTAAAGGTTGATACCAATACAGCTATTGGAAACAAATACAACAGAAAAACTTTGAGATTATAACAACAAATTAAATGAATTCTTATTTATTATATTTAATCTTTGAATATTTATGCTAAACAAATATTCAAGCTGTTTCTTGAAATTGCGAAATTCCTACTTCTCAAACTTACCAATTTTCTGCTGAGTTAAAGCATTGGAAAATATGCAAGCATGTAGGTATGTAAGTAACGGTGATTTTATTGGCCTCTAAAACTAAGACCGCTTCAGTGTCGCAAAGGTGTCTTGCGACATTAGAGCGGCCTTGATGTGTTTTGCGAGCTTTATACAAGTCGTTACCACGGAACTATCTATAAACTCTTTCATTAGCTCGTATCATTACCTTCCATTTTAACCTCAAAGAGTTTTAGACCTATTCACAGCTTTTAGGGCGAGTCCAAGTGAAGCGATTATTAACTTTTTATTGTGCTAGTTATGTGATTGTTAACCGCATTGATGGTTTGTGGCTCATAGGATTTCATTTATTGTTTGGTTTAAAATTGTAATTTGATCAATTTTTAACAAACAACTGCTTTAGAATGGGCATGACACATAAGGTCGAGAGCAATAATGTGAGGGATTGCAAGTACTCGTATTTACGAAAAGTTTTGGTAGGTTTAGATTCGAAATTCCATTCTTACCTACCGTTAAAACTCGGTGAAGTGATGATCCATGGCTTGTTCATGGGTTGAGAAAAACATTTTTACTCAATATCGTTCATGTATAAACGATATCTTACACTTTAGTGTAAAATGTCGTTAAATTTCAAACATTGTAAGACTTCAAACCATATAGACTCAGAATAATGCACCTGTACATATAAAAATATCACTATACAAAATATTATATACCTGCCTTTTAATTCATACTTTTCAATGTGGGAATCAAACTCATTGAAAATAAAAACTTTATGCTTAAACTAGGCGTAGCATATATGTTAGCTTATAATAATTTAAATAATTACCAAAGAAGAAGAACTAGCAGAGGCATGTGATGATAGGAAGTGTGTATTTGTGAAATTCATTCCGCACTAAGATGCGGTGTTGAAACCGAGTAACGTAAACATTATAAGCGCTAAAATAATATTGATGCTATTATGTAAATAACTTCAAGAAGCCAGAAATATAATTGTCTATCTGGCAAAATACCTGTTGGGGTGCAATAGTAGTCTTAGGTTTTACCATAGAGTCCGAGCCGGTATAGCTTTTCTGTAAAATAATTAATGGCGTCACGCTTGAAGTAGGAAAATGAAACTACTCTTCCTACGGCAAAGATAAAAAAAATCGTAAAATAATTATATCAGAATGCATCGGATAAATACTGTAATTTAACGGTATTTAAATTAATGGTGCCCCTTTCCTCACTTTCTTTTTGATGACTAAACCACATTAAATAGGTTATTTTGGGCGATACGATTTATGATCTCCATATTAAATAAAATATTAAATAACAATAAGTAAGTAAATAAATGAAACATTTACTTTTAACATTTACATTAAAATGAATGAATTCAGTGTTATGGTTAAATGTTTTGCTTGTTTGCAATTAGATAATCTGACACTCATTAGAATAAAAATACGTAATTCAGCTTCATGTCTTTACTAGTGCCAAGTTGTTTAAACAATAAATACGTGAAACAATTTTACACTCTTCCAACTAGCTATCAATCAATCACGACGTTGTGTAAGTAACACATGTTTACCGTACTCCCGAACAGCTATCAACACAAGTATTTGATCTCTTTGATTTACAAATTGCATGCATATGAATGTAATCTGGATGCCAGATCAAACTATATGTTCTAAAACATCTGCTACCTTTATCATAATTTTAGGATGCTCTTTATAATCCCGGATCCCTCCTATTACAGGCGCAGAGTGGCACACCGTGTGGTTTTAGTCGGTCTGATTCAGACACACCCTCCCGCCGTAAACCCCGGTGGGAGGTTTTCACACGTAAAAAAAAAGGATCTCTTTATAAAAACGGACTCTTCATGGAGTGGCAATTTTTTATTTATGGAATTATTGATGTTTTAATCGTTTTGATTTTTTTAAGTATTATTAGTAATTTGTTTTACTTTCAAATAAATCACCGTGATTGCTTAATCCTTTCTCCCTCAAACAAAACAAACCTAAACATATCTTCAACAAATTTTTTTTTTTTTGTTGTTAGAAAAATTATCTCTGCTAAGTAAGTAAGTTTCTGTAAGTCTAAGGTAGACTAAACTTCGTTAAATATAATAGTGCTCAGGTAATGCGTTCAAAATGATTAAATTCTCATATAATAAACGTGAACACCCGGGTGGTGACAGCTTAAGAATACGGAGTGTCACCACCCCTATTCATCCCGTGGGTGTCGTAAGAACGGACTAAGACAGCAAATTTCGCAGGACAACAGCACTGCAAAGAGAAGAAAAACTTGAAATAAACCCTATACCAACCCGTCTAGCTAGCGTGGTACAGTAGGTCAAAACTTCTTTTCTAAGGAGAGGCCTATGTCAACAGCCTATATGGCCTATGTCCAGCAGTGGGCATAGGCCATATAGGCTGTTGATGATGATGATGATGATGAAACATGAATATTAAAAACTAACTGTAACTACTTACCACTGTAAGTACTTTTCTTAGGTCACTATGTAAGGCAGATACATCGACTCCCCTACCAGCGTCGCCTAGTCGCCTTAGTGTGTCTGCCAAAGGCCCGGAAAGTGCACGCAGCTGTTGCCAAGATCTGGCATATTGTCGCCTCACCAGTTCGATTATAGTTGACGTTAGTGCCAACCCAATTAATATATACAACGTACATATTAACATATATTTTGGTCTTTCTGGAAACGGAAAATAAATTAAAACCTCATTTGCTAAAATCCAAACATTTCACATTAAAAAACAATTTACTTACTAGGAACTAAGTCTCCAAATCCAATTGTGGTCATAGTTATGAAACAAAAATAGAATCCATCATAGAAAGACCAGTCATCTTCCCACATTTTAAATAAGCACGCACCTGCCGATAGGTAAACAAACAGAAATCCAACAGCTCCAAGGGCATATAAGGACCTCTGACCTGCAGGATTAGCTTCTAAGCCTCGCGAGCAGCATTCTAAAATAATTTCATTCTAAATTTTCAGAGAGAACTCTTAAGAGAGAACAAAATACAAACATTAAATAAGCTTTTCAAGGAGAAGAAAAAACATAAAAGTTATGAGATACAGGCTGTCTGGTGGCAGATTTATGGTTTTAAAATGAAATAATAAACTTACCACCCTTTAAGACAAAATTTTAAGAAAAACAGTGAAACAGTGAGCAAAGATGCGGATTTCATTTTCAAATAATTATGTCATCCAAATGTCTTCCATCAAGTTGCACCCACTTTTCGAAACGGAGTCTTGTGCTTATGTTAGTTTATATTCTAGTCCGTGGATTGTTTGTGTACACTATCTCTTTGCGGTAGCCCTATCAAAAATCCATAAGGGTTAAGTCGGGTGACCTAGCTGACCACGAGATGATCCCAAAGTGACTAATCATTTTTTTTTTAAATGTTGACGAAGCAAATTCATCGAAGATCTGGGCGTATGCGATGAGAACGATGGATGAGCTCGCAGGTTAGGTAAAAAGAAATCCGTAATTATGCGCCTATAATTTTCATTATTGACATTCATTGCCTCAAAGAAAAATTATCCTCAAAGAAAAATTGGCCGTTTCAAAGAAAAATAGTGCAATAATCGCATTCATGGATAAAACACACCAAACAGTTACCCTAGGGCAGTGCAATGGTTTTTGGTGTTTCAGTCGAGGGTTGTGATTTCTTGGAGACCAGTACGGCAGTTCTGCTTGTTGAAATAGAAATGAGCCTCGACACTTCAAAAAAATTAGTTCACAGTGCAAAAACACTCCAGCACCGTTTCACATTTTTTTACGTGAAACAAAATTATTTTCTTGCAGTTCTTGAACGATCTGAATTTTAAATTTCATGGACAATCGCCCTCGGAAGTCTCAGTGAGGCTGTCCGTTTTCGTATCGAAAGTCACGCATTTTATCGTAAAACTCCGTTCCACCACTTTCCACAATGTGTTCGGGGATGTTCATAGCCAAAGCAGTTGCGCGAAACCTTTGCACCCAGGAAAGAATTAAATTTGCACTCAGCCCATCACTTAGAATACCGAAATGTGAACAAAACTGCCGATGAGCGATTACGTAAGAATAGTTACGCTCGAAAAATGCTTCAACGGCACGCACGATGCTTACCATTCCACTGTGACATCGTGACTGAGAAATCCGCACGATCCGTGATTCGATCACCATCCAACAGCACCGTTTATTACTTTTTAAAATAATTGTTTTAAAAATGTAAATCTGCCACCAGGCAACCTGTATAATATTTTACCTCACAATTGGAGAACGAACTAACAAGTCGAAGTAATTCTTAGTAACAAACATTGCAAATGCAACTTTATTTTGTAAATTTTATCGAATATTTTGTGTTTCTAGGCTTTAATGAATAGATAGAAAACCAAAAGCTTAAGTATTTTGTATCGTTCTTAATTATTTAGTACTTTACAATAAAGGTTTGCTGTACACATATGGTTCGATACAATTACGTTAGTTAGCATCATTAAATTTCTATCAAGCTAGATGACTTTCCTAGTTGGTTTCAACTTTTATACATAAATGTCAAATTCTTTACAAGATATATATTATGCTTACTTGGCAGTGCCGGTAGCTGTTTACCAATAATTGAAACTACAGTAGCGAAAACACGGCCCAAATCAGCAATAACCGTCAGCGTCAGTGGTATGCCTATAAGTGCATACGCAATACAAAACAGTCTGCCCCAGAACGTCTCTGGAACTATGTTACCATAACCTGAAAAAAAGTTATTTCTAAACTAACACACACTCATATATATATATATATATATATATATATATATATATATATATATATATATAATAATATCATTAAAGTCATATTAGCCAGTCATCTATTCAGCCTGATTTGACAAATGATCATGGACGAAGAAGGTGAACCCTTCTTCGTCCATGATCTACTAGACTTGCAAATGATAAAATTGTTTTATCAAAATGAATGTTCTGTTTAGGCAACGTTGCGCACGCTTTGCCTGGGTTACGATAGTCATAATTTTCCTACCGAGAGGATTATTTGCAGTGTGGTGAATAAATTTCACACAAAAACCCCGGCCGTTTGTAGACCATAACTTGGCGAATTTTGAGTCGTGACTGGGGTCTGGAGCCATACAGACCGAGAGATGACGACTTTGCAGAAGGATGCGACGCAGAAAAACAACTGTCACTACCGGCCATGGAGCGTATGACGGCCTCGCGAGAGATCCTCTCCAATGATCGCAATGAGGACCCGACGCTGCGACGCCCAAGCCGGGCAAATTGCCAGGATGTGCTGAGCTGGGTCCTCACTGCAGTCGCAGTGGTGACAGACGGGACTCAATTCCCTCCTAGCGTGCAGTGTGTGAAGGTACTTCCTAAAGCAGCCGTACCCGGAAAGGACCTGCGTCAGTCGGAAGGAAAGGGTCCCGTACTGTCGCCCTGCCCACTTAACGATGACCGGCTGGAGCACCTCCACGGTAGCAAAACGAGCACGTGAAGCCTCTAGCCGGGACGACCAACGAGCCATAGTAGCTCGACGAGTGGCCTCACGCCACTCGCGTACTTCTTCGGGCGGGGGCCGACTGCCACTAACCGCACTTCCACCTCCAAGTCTCACGGGGGAGCTCCGGCCAACGCACAAGCTGCCTCTGACAATACAGTGCGGCAACCGCATATGGCTCTAACCGCCAATACCTTCTGAGGGCGCCAGGAGCGCGCCCTATTCTGAGCGTTCAGAGCCCCTGCCCACACCGGTGCACCGTACAGTGCCAGTGACCGGAAAACTCCCGTGTATAGCCGTCTTGTCGCGACGCTGGGCCCACGCAGATTAGGCAAAAGCCTCCAAAGGGAGGACCTCGGACCGATTCAGGCCCAAATTGAGACATTCGTTGAGAACGATTGAGGCACCAGGGGCACGATTGAGGCACCAAGACGCCGACCATGAAATCAGAAGGCCTCCGTTTTATCCAGGGCAACCCGTAAGCCCAGTGTCTCAACGCACTCTACCACCAGAGGGACTCCCCTGATCCCTTGGAAAATCATCTCGAAGGGCCAGTCGTACCCTATGTTCCACAGTCCAAGAACAGACCCCTGCGGATCACCGCACGACATGGGTCAACTCCTCAAAACACCATCCCGGTCCTCGTACACAAGACGGTACACTCCTCTAAATAGTCTGCCACCAGCCGCCATAGGGACTCTGGCACCTTGTGATAGCCTGATGCAGCTGAATTTCAGACTATTTAATGCGTCGGCTATGAGCAACGACACCGCCAACAGCACGCCGCCACAGCTCACCGCCTCTTCAATCACGGCCCTCAGGCGTAGCACAGCGCCGACCGTGGAACGTCCCACTCGAAAACCGGATTGGGCACCCAACAGATCGGGACATCGTTCCTTTGTACAAAATACTCCATGGAAAAGTAGACAGCCCTACCCTACTCGAAAAATTAAATCTGGCTGTCCCACGTCCAGGTAGCCGTATTATTAACAGAAAAACTTTTAGCTTAGTTCTCTGCCGCACAAATTATGGTCAGCATGCACTGTTGTACCGTATATGTTTCGCATATAATAAAGTTGGTAATAACATTGACATTTTTGGTGCGACAATTTGGTCTTTGAAAGTGTATTTATCTAAACATTGTTAATATTTGCATACATTCTTGGTGTCAAGATTTAGATTATGGTCATGATTGTGATGTACATAACCTCAATAGGCTTGTGTACACTAATAACAAATTGCTTGGTTTATAGTTTCAAATTATAAATGAAGAGATATAGCTAAGAAAAAACCAGTCTATTTCTCATTAAAGTTAAAAAATATTTTTTTTTTTTTAAATCAGAACACCAATCAGGAAGTGTTACGTCACGCCACGCAAAACATCATTGTTGTTGTTGACATTTTCATATAACAGAGCAGGTTACTCCTTATTGTTTTTCGTTTTTAGGATGTAAACACAAATGGAAAGTTTTGTTTCGCAGACTGTGACGTCATTCAAGCCGCCATGACACTATTCAGCGTTTTCAAAATAAAATTTAATTATTTTTTTTACACAAAATACGTAAAGTAAATATTGCTTTCTCATTAAAATATAGGGTTTTGGGATAAAACGGATATCAAAATATAAAATTAACCAAGTTTTCAAATTGAGTCAACTAGCCTATTGTCGGATGAAAGTTCACTGTCTAGTTATATAAATATAACCAAAAAAATATTAAGTTTTCATATTGTTGAGCCATAGGATTAAATGGTTCGATTGTTCTGGATTATAATGAATGTGGAGGACAACGCCATCTAGTATCGAGTAAAGTACAACTATTCAGATAGCCGATAAATAATTCTAATACTTACAGTGCTAGATGGCACTGCAAGTTACGCTTAACCGATACTGGAATATTCTTATTTCCTGGAACGCACTATCGAATACTAGGGATCTAATATTATAAATTCGATAGCGCTATAAAAGCGAAGCGTGTTGGCCGTTTGAATTAACATCGAAGTGAATTTCTAGTGCGACTAAAGAGTTATATGGTGATTTCTAGTTTGTTATAGTGAGTGTATGTAAATACAGTGTAATAAAATTAATTAACCGACAACTTCTATTTATAGTGTACCCCGCTCGTAACAATATGATATGCAGCCAAACATTCCTAAATATTTGATCCATGTAAAAAAACAGTTCTAAAATAAATGGATTCAATAAAATCACAAGTTTAACAAAGGTTTCAGTGTTAACAGTTATTGGCAAATATGTTATATGCTTACATCATTGTACACACCTATTGTGGTGAGCACAGTGGAAGAAAAAAACACCGCCTGCAGAATGCTCCACTTTTCTTCTGATGGCGGAAAGTTATTCTCCACTTCCAATGCCAAACCGCTTGATGAAGCTTCTTCTAAAACCTTCAGACAGAAGTAGAAATAATTTTAGGTCGGTAAATTGCATATTCTACTAACGTGGCAAACAGACACTCTGTAGGTCCTCTAAATATTCTCAAGAATACCGAGAATTAATTCTTGGCACGATTTTTTTAAGTTGAAGTGTAATAACTACTTTACCAATCGGGTAAAACCAATAATTCCTACATACTGATACTGAAAGTTAAGAACTGTTAAACGGCTGTAACAAGGCCTATATTAAAGCCATTCACAGATTACCCTTAATGGACCGAGTACACTTTGGCCAGACTCGAGCCAAGTCAAGCCGACGCCAATGTGAACACGGGGTTTTTTGTATACTTGACAATACAAAGCTTGAATTTTATAAAAATATTTTATTGAACATAATAACAATTTGTCATATTTTTAAATATTACTATCTTACTAATATCATAAAGCCGAAAGTATGAAAGGAAAAAAAAAAGAAAAAGAAAGAATTACGGCCGTGGCTATCTATTATAATATATATATATCTTTTTTTTTAGATAAATCCTGCATTAAGAATATATCCTGTGTCGCGGGGAACTTTACAAACATACAAGAAACGGACACAAAGAACGCCCAGACTCAGAACAACAATTAGTGGATCACACAAAGTGTCGTCCCATGGGTATACTCGTATGTTAATGATTTCTTAAATACCCCCAAAATAAAAAGATGTAGATCGACGCAACTTGTTGAAGGGACGATTGGTTTTCAATAGTGTGATATATTCAAAACACTTCACAGAAGACACTCTTCAAAACCGCAGAAAGCTGTTGGAAGACAAGGAAAACAGATCCAAAGGGTTCTGTGTAACGTATTTATACTGAGGTCATCCATTTTAAAAATCAGTGAAATATATATTTAAATCTCACATGTACCGAACCACTGTGATAGGATCACAATGGTTCGGTACATTCTAAATTGTAGTTAATTTAAACTAATAAATAATTTTTTTTTTTAAAGTGGAATATTTCCACTTCATACGGAGCTTTCTAAATGTGTGGGAGCGGCTTCTATAAATGTGACCGTTTTGCAAAATAGCCTATTTATAAATTTACAATAACATAATATATAGCTATAATACTAACTCTCTCATATACAGCTAAATGATCACTCAGCAATTTTTCGACACCATCACTTGACGTAGCATTACTTCTTCCAGAAACAAAGCGAATTAAGTTCCATCTTTCTGTAAGAAGTCTCTCTCTATGAAATTCTTGTTTCTGCACTTCTGCTGGATATTCTAATGCACGAAAAACCTGTAAATTCACAAGACTACAGTAATTATACACATGAATATAATTTGTACAAACTTAACATCACTGCCTTTTTATAATGCATCTATAAGTCTAAGCCTATTAGCGTAGGATAATCATCCAAATAGACAAGAATCTCAAGCCCAATTTAAATATATATAATATAATATGCGAATGTTAGTTTTTATGGATACAGAAAGTGATATATTTTTATTTATATACAGGTAATGGTTATGAGGGATACCTGAATCGATTGACAAAATATACATTAACACGAGCTACCAGTTTTCTTTAGTACTCTGTCTGGCAAGGGATCCTTCAGCATACGTACTCGTAGACGCACACTGACGGCAATTATTGCTAAAGAGTCCTCAGGTATGGCAAGGTGTGCTTGGGAATACCGATGAATTCTCAGGCATGCCGAGGTGTGCTTGGGAATACCAAGGAGTTCTCAGGCATGCCGAGGTGTGCTTAGGAATGCCGAGGAGTTCTTAGGCTTATCGAGGTGTGCATAGGAATGTCGAAGCGTTCTCAGGCATGCTAAAGTCTGCTTAGGAATGCCTCCGCAACCGCCTCTGGTCCTACACACGTGCGATCAGAGACAATGTCTGCGGGCAATGAGGGCTCCGATTCCTAGTTTAGACTCTGTGTCTCGAAGACTGCCGAAACTAGCCGAAGGTCGCTTCGGCGTGCTTAGGTATGGCTTAGCTTCCGAAGACTTTCGAGGTCTATCGAGGCGTCCTTAGTATGTGTACCTTGACAATCTTAACTTGCCATGCCGTGCCGATAATGGGTACCGGGCCTTAGCGGGTACCGCTTGGATTATATTATTGTATATACATGGGGGGGGGGGGCACAACAGTGCTCGACAGAATACGACCTTCAAACCTTCAAGAAAAGAGCAAACTCCTTCCTAAAAGGCCGGCAATGCGTTTGTGTCTCCTGAGTTGCAGACGTTCATGGGCGGCGATGGTCACTTTCCATCAGGTGACCCGTCTGCTCGTCTGCCCCCTCTAACATAAAAAAAATGTTCATGCCTCATCTTTTCTGATATAAATCCCTACATAAGCTCGGATATTTAACTTTCACATGCACATTATTCAACCCATGAACCTTGTACCTTGTATAAAAAGTATGTGACCCTCGATCACATACTTTTTATGTTAATATATATCTGTGGATTCTAAATCAAATGATATTCTTTTCGAACACAAATTTAAATAATATATTTTATTAGACGTCTTACTAAAGTCCTTATACAAGTATGTAAGTATAATTCACTGAGTATGAGAGATGGGTTAATGTTAGAAGGTAAGATCCAGAACTTCAATGGGTTCACTACCATATAGAAAGGAAAAAAAAACGTCTTTATGGCAAAATACTTGTATCTCTATCTAGGTAACAAAATACAATAAGCTTAAAAACCATAGTTAATAACATAATTATAAGACTATCGAAGTATTAAATAAGCATAATTTAAATATTGTAGTTGTGTTACCTATGCTGCTTACAAGGTTACAAATGTTAACTTAATCAAAGAGAGAACTCACATCCTGAGCGCAATCAGTTCCCCGAAATACTTGCTAAGTGTTACAACCGAATTGACATCACTTAACTTGTCTCCAAAGACATTTATCCAGCTAAAAGTTTTTAAACTCTTCTTCATAAAGACAAACCGGTAATTTCTTAAGATTTGTTACTTCTATTTGGGGAAAGTTCGTTAAATCATCCTTATCCGTCACGGGAATATATGGCGGAGTTACTTTTTTATGTAGAATTGAGTCCCATTTCATGTCGAAAAACCATTCATGACTTTTAATATCATAAACTCCGGATTTCAGGGAACCATAACGCTTATTGGGATCTACTTCTAGAAGACGTTTAATTAATAGCTTGCATTCTCTTGGCATTGTGCCTGGACATTTAAATTGACCAGAAAGAATTTTCTCATACAACTGAATAGGTTCTGGGCTGTAAAACGGAGGGTAACCGGTCATCATTTCAAATATTAAAACACCGAGGGCCCACCAATCTACGCTATACGAATAACCTTTCGATAATATTATTTCTGGAGCTAAGTACTCAGGCGTGCCGCACAGAGTCCATGTTCGGCCTTTCAGTACTTTACAAAAACCGAAATCCGTTAATTTAATGTAGCCAGATTCATTGATCATTACATTTTCAGGTTTTAAATCTCTATGAATAACGTTACAGTGGTGAAGATATTCCAAGGCAAGTGTCACCTGAGCAGCATAAAATTGTACCAGTTCCTCTGCGAACGTTCCTGTTTTCTTCAGCAAATGGTACAATTCACCCCCAGATTCAAACGGTAAAATAAAATAAACATAGCAATTATCTTTACTCGTAAATTCCATATGCATTACAAAAGGAAAATTTATACTTTGAAGAACTTTTTTTTCTGTTATTATATATTTAATGGTTTTCTTTTTCACAACTATCTCTTTCTCAATTGATTTTAAAGCATTGTATTCGTAAGATAATCTATCACGAGCTAAAAAGACTGTCCCGAATGCACCCATTCCGAGAGTATTTATTATGTCGAAGTCATCTGGCGATCTGTTTACCCCCTTTTCATTACTATTGAATTTTGATTCGAACTCTTGTTTGAGCATTTGCAGATAACGAGTATGTGATGCTTGAGCGGCATGTGTATATCCCTTACTTTTTTCTCCTGGTTTTTCAACAGTCATTTTGTTCATGCATAATTCATTTAATTAATAAAATCATTTCTGCGAAAACGGATGTGTGATATAAAATGATTCAATCCAAAAGGTAATGTTAATACAAACCAGTATAAAATATTTCCTTAAAAGCAAAAAAATAAGGTTACTTTCAGAATTAGACTTTGACAACCAATCAACCAAATAATCATGACATTTATTCAGAAAACCAAAGACAAGCAAATTAATCAAGATCGTTAAGATTTGCTCCATAAAGTAATACCTACATTTGCAACAAAGCTCACTAACCCCTTCAAATAACGTTATGCCGTCCTTAATCTACATATGGTAGTGTTTTCCATATAATGCCGATTTATAAAGCTTAAACCGGAACTGAATTTACGCAGTATATTTTATTTTACTCGAATAATAATATTCTGACAAACAATACTAATTGTATGGTATAAATATATATACATATTATTTTTTGACTTTGTAAACTTAAAAAGTTTGCAAATTAATAAGTTAGATTACATTTTATGTTTTAATAACGTTTCGTTTTTATATTTATTTATATGGGTGTTTTTCCGAAACAACACTTACTTGTATTCAATGTTTACTCATAATCATCTGATGGTAATTGGAAGACAACATCTAACCACGCAAACCACTATGCCTCTTTGCTCCCTTCTCCTACCTCGAGCCTACGATTACTTATTTACAGGGCATTTAGATACAGAAATAGGCATTTATTTTTTAACTCACCTGATGGAAGACAATGACGATAAACGCAATATTCACTCTACTATTGAACATTCCAGGATTATAATTGTCTAGGGACATAAATGCGGACAATCCATTCCAAACTTTGTCAACTCGGATAAAAAAGGAGCTGTCAAAGTTTTATTGCGATACATAGGTATTTCAATAATGAAATAGTAAAAGCTTAATCGGCGTCTCATATTCCAATGAAGGACTGGTTAGGATACCAAAATCTTTAAATAAGCTTTTAAAAGACTGTATGATGCTTTAGAACACAAGTAAATAATTTCCTATCCACAAGCCGAACATCATGTTTACAAACTTTTACGGAGGCTCTTCGGTTTTTATTGTCTAAAGCTTTAAGTTTGTATTTAGCTGAGCATTCCTTCTCTTGAACTTGAACGAGAAGGAAAACTTGCAACAAACCCTTTTTTTTTTTTTTTTTTAACGTGTGGAAATCCCCTCGGACCGTCACCCCTCCGGGGTTTGCGGCGGGGTGGTGTGTCGGACTCGGACCGACTAAAACCACACGGTGTGCCACTCTGCGCCTGTAACAGGAGGGATCCGGGAACAGCTGTTGTTAAGACATCCGGACCCCTCCTAGCGCCAGCCCGCTCCTGGTGCGGGCTCCGTCTCGATGTTTTTCCTCTTTTTTTTTTTTTTTTTTTTTTTTTTAGGCGACGTCCGGCACACGCGGACGCCGCCCCCTCGCGGCTGGCCAAACTAATGCGGGTGGAGGGGAAACCCACCCCGTCCACCCGCGGCCACACTCAGGGCGGCATGAGGCTGTGATAGGCGGGCCTCCGCCGCCCGGTTCGCCGGCGGCGGATCGGGTCCGAGTGGAGGTCGTCCTCCCGGGCCCTCTCCGCCGCCTCCTTCCGCGAGATTACTACCTCGCAGAAGGTTGCGACCGCGGTAAAACAACTGTCGCTACCGGCCATGGAGCGTACTACGGCCGGTAGCGAGAGATCCACTTCGATGACTGCAGTGAGGGCCCGGCGCTGCGCCGCCCATGCGGGGCAGACCGCCAGCGTGTGCTGGGCCGAGTCCTCACTGCAGTCGCAGTGGTAGCAGGCGGGACTCAGTTCCCTCCTAGCGACCGTGTGCAGGTACTTTCCGAAGCAACCGTGCCCGGAAAGCACCTGCGTCAGCCGGAAGGAAAGGGTCCCGTGCTGCCGCCCTGCCCACTCGGCGATGACCGGCTGGAGAGCCTCCACGGCGGCGAAGCCAGTGCGTGGAGTCTCCAGCCGGAACGACCAACGAGCCATCGTGGCTCGGCGAGCGGCTTCGCGCCACTCGCGCACATCCTCGGGCGGAGGGCGAAATCCGCTCTCCGCCCGGAAGTCAGCCACTCGCCGATACTAACCGAAACCCTAAACTAACCCCTCTGGCCAGCGTAGTACAAGGGGCCAAAACCTCCTTTCTAAGGAGAGGCCTATGTCTAAGAGTAAATCATTAAATTCTGATGATGATAAGCAATCCTAAAAGTAACTGCAGTACTCCATGCAACATTCAGAATTAACGAGTAGCTAGACTTTCGAAATGATTCCAAATTGCTCAAACGCTGTCTGTGCCATATACTCGATTTATTGACTGAAGTTTAATTTGAAGGTGATTTGCTGGTCAGTAATCAGCGTATACTTTGGAAAGTGGGTATGAGTTATTTTTTTTTTTCACTAGGACTCCCATAATCTTATGTTTTAAAAGAATTAAAATGTATAATTTTAGTGTGAACAATATTCTTACTTTGGAGATTTATTTGCAAAGAGGCGCCGTAATGCTACATGTATGATTTTATAACATTTAGAACCGGTTTTTCAATCCTCCGTTATACTGTCAGACAACTCACTTGGGAATAAATTTATCTTGCTGTTTATGAAGCGAATAAACTTTTTCGGTTTTCAGTCGGGTGTAAGCCGACAGATAGTTACTTGATGGTCTTTCATAGCTAAGTTCACTGTAAACATGGGCAAGAGAGATGCATACAGTGGTATACTATATAGTTAGGAACACGTCAGATAAGGATCACAAGCTATTAGAAAATATTTATGTTATTCTTTTCTTATTATTGCTTGTCTGTCAGATAATAAGACAACCCTAATGGCGGTGGTAGTAACGGTGAACGATGGTGTAGTGTTTTGTGTAACGGACTGCTACTCAAAATTTTGTGGGTTCAGTGCCCGCTCCATTCAATCATTTGTAGTACTACACTATTCTACAGATAATATCACTAAGTGAGGTGTAAACCGACAGATAAAGTTATTCCTTAGATTTAAGATTTATTTCTCAGATAATAGCTATCTGACCATTGAAAATTCCAAAATTAAGCTAACTGTGAAATAAATGCTATCTCACTATTTATCTGAGGATTGAAAAACCGGCCCTATATCACGCGTAATATTAGATTATGGTTATATGATTTTTTCAAATTTGAATGACTTGAGTGTTTCTTACCTTATTTCTCTTAGATCACTTCTAGTTGTGCCTACTTTCTACTCAGACTTCTTTAGCGTCAACTATGTTTTACCTTAAGTATAATAGACCGGCAGATAGCGACAGAAGTTCATCACCGATTTTCTCACTGATACCTGTCAGAGTATTGGCATAGGTGGCATAAGTGAGATAATTGTCGAAAAAGCAAAAAATATCTGCAAAATAAAATAAAAAATACTTGGTTCCGCGGGCACCGCTCAATTTTACAATGATTCTACTTATCTCGGATAATATTTTCAATACTCTAAGAGGCATGAGTGAGAAAATCGGTGCTGAACTTCTGTCGCTAGCTGCCGGTCTATAAAGACTAAGTATAAAACACAAAAACCCTATGCAACCCGCCTGGCCAGCTTGGTATAGTAGGCCATAACCTTCTCCCTAAGGAGAGGCCTAAATCCAGCAGTGGACTATTAAAGACTGTTAATGATGAAATAGCTACAACTTTTAACTCGACTGCGCCCCAAAAAGGGATATTTTTTTGAGTGTACCTACATACTCGTGTGTATGTATATTTCTTTGACACGCTCTGTAGCCTAAACGGCTTGATGGATTTTGATGTTTGAGATGTTGTTAGATTTGTCCTAATTGTGAAAGTGACACTTGGTATATGATATTTATAATAATTAATAATATATACCTAATAAAAATTCGTCGGTTTATAAATTTGAAGCAGATATTGTATTCATTCATGTGTTTTGTTTTTATTTACAATAAGCAGCATGTTCGGCTTTCTTATATGTGAGAAAAAATGAATTTAAGGAGTCTTTCAGTTTTTTACTTTTAAAACACTTAAATGGATTGCACCTATATTGTCAATAGTCACGGCATAAACTTAACTATGGACTAAGACTGATTAGTCAATCATAAATTATAATATTAGTGATAGGTAATTTATTTTAATGAATAATCTACATAATGATAGTTATAATTCACTTACAGGTTGAACCTTTTATGTAGAATACCTTAGAGTTCACCTTAAAAACATGATATAACGCATGTTTTAAAAATCCTCGAACTCTGCCTCATAGAGACACTTTGAACACCGTTGAAGCATAGGTTGAGATATCTCGGGAAAATTGCTAGTGTCTCCAGAAGAGTTGCATACGGGCATAAACGGGGGTTCTAATCTTTGATGAAGTAAGGCGTGCCAGTCTATTTCTTTGAACCAAGAATGGCTTTTAATATCATACACGCCCCCTATAAGAGAACCAATACGCTTCGATGGATCTACCTGGAGGAAACCTTTGACCAAATTCCTACATTCACCATTCATATTTTCAGGAAATTTGTACCGTCCTTCGATTATATTGTCATAAAGTTTTGCTGGTTCGCCTGCGTAAAAAGGTGGAGTTCCAGCCTCCATTTCATATATTAATACACCCACAGCCCACCAGTCAACTGCGTAGTTGTAACCTCTAGACATAATAATTTCTGGTGCTAAATATTCAGGTGTTCCACACAATGTCCAAGTTTTCTTCTTAATTTTTTTACTAAACCCAAAATCGCATAGTTTTATGTATCCAGTTACGTCAATTAATATATTTTCAGGTTTAATGTCTCTATGAATAACTTCACAGTGGTGTATGTATTCTATTGCTAATACTATTTGACCAGCGTAAAATTTTGATAATTCATCCGAAAAATTTCCATATTTCTGTATGTAATTAAACATTTCACCACCAGCCACAAAAGGTAATATGAAATATAAATAAACATTATCTTTAAAAGCAACATCCATGGTCAATGTAAACGGAAATTGTACACAGTCAAGAATTTTCTTTTCAAGTATTAAATGTTTTACATGTTTCCTTTCTACAACAACTTCTTTTGCAACCACTTTCATGGCATGGTAAGTAAATGTACTTTTATTCCTTACTAAAAACACTTCTCCATATGCTCCGTTCCCAATCGCTTTGATAATATCGTAATCGTCAACAGAGTTCATGCACGGAGATCTTTCCTGAAACTTTTTTGTAAATTCTTCTTTTAACATATCCAAATAGCGTAAGTGATCTTGTTGATTCTGGATAGTGAATGACGATTTGGCCATAACCAGTCACTTTCAGCTAAATATCCCATTTAAAATTGAAATCGAAACACTAAATCACCTCAGAAATACAAATAAATATTTCAAAATCATTATTTTCAACCATGTTACCTGTCGCCGTGTCATTATGCTACTACGATTTACATTCATAAAATGTTTTGACATACCTCAGCCTAATAGATAAACTGATCTTTATAAATACTTTCATGATAACAATACCAACAAAACTCTTTTTGTCAAATATTTAAGCATTTCTAGTCAAAACGTCTATTGAAACGGTAGATTTAACCATAAGGAATAAGTATGTGTTTAGTGTAGTCTACAAATATGTAGATACAAAATTTACAGGCGTGAGACTGAGTTTTAGTGATGGGACATTGACATTGCCGCAATATCGATGTAGAAAATTTGCATTACGAATTGGAATTAGTTTGTAATCTAAGTCCAAAGTTATTTGTTTGTATTAAAAATCCGATAATAGTTTTAGTCTCCACATAGTACACATCGTCTACTCTCATTAACCACCAGATCTCGTTAAAATTGTGACATTAAAACAACTTCATTAAAAAATATATACATATAAACTGTTTGTAATCTATTTTTAAAGTAACATCTTTAATTAATTGCAATTGCAATGCAGTGATTAAAAATATAAATTATTTTTGGTGTTAGATTAAACAACAACTGGTTTCTAACATAATATAAATTATTCGTTGGAGAGCCATGCTTCGGCACAAATGTTAAGCGTTTTTTTCAGTACTTTTCACAGAGTGTCTGAGGTTACCAGAGCCCAAACCCTGCTCTTGATTCTGGGGGGAGAGATTTAAAGGACGGCATCCCACTTGTCATTCTTGATGTGCGTGTGTCCACTGGCGGCGGTAGTCATTTACTATCAGTTGACCAGTCGCTCGTTTGGGGACAAACGAGACCCTTTTTAGACCATTTGTTTTAAATTAATCAGATTTACTAAAGAGTATTAACGAAACTAGCTACTTATTTCAATATCGACGTATCGATAGAAGCTCAATCCCTATACCAAAATTTTTTCATCACCTTTTTTTAGTCATACCGTGTTGTTCATGTAATAAAGACAATGTAAAATTATTTTATGTATGCTACAAAAGTAATTATCAGTATTCGCCTATGAAAATTCTTTGGATTCATGTTGTATTAATTAACAATTTCTTCACCGAATCTAATACCAAACTCCATTATTATTTTCTTTCTAATTTATCTGTTAAAATATAAAAGAAAACGAAGTAAATACAAAATTAAAATTGAGATTCTATTTAAACAGGAGTGTATTTCATTGGAACTACTGGACTATTAGTCATTTTTTCAAACCGGTTTCATTCACGTTTATCGCTCGTGTTCCTACTATGCTCATATTAAAAGCTATTCTTCGTCTTACTACACGTAGTAGCACAGGTAGTTTTTCCTGTCGTACTACCGCCTTGCGCAGTAGTACTAATCTAATTTTCTTTTCGCAAATCGCACTTCAAATGAAAATTAATTAGCATAGAAGAGAGTAGAACAACAGGGAAAAATTTACCCCTGTTTTCACAGTTAGCAAGACTCGTAGTGAAACGGGCAATAAACGAATTGAAAGGGTCAATTTATCCTGTCGCTTTCTCACGACTAGGTTTTCTGGTGAGGTATTTCACTAAAAGGATATGACTGAAACTAATCTACCTGGCCTGATGATGTATACATATCATAGTGCATTATGTCACAAATCTCTATAGTCTTACATTATAGAGGTCATGAAACATGTGCATAAAAATCTCCTTAACTTTCATAGAGTTCAAATGTTTCTATTCGTATGTCACTCGATGAAAAATCTTTTAAGGTGAATTCCGATAGTAGTTTCATTTTAAGAGCGAAATTCTCTATCAGTGTAAGATATTTTTATATCTTAAAGATTTTCTATGTGACGTAACTTAAAATAAGTGTAAACTGTATTGGCTTTATATTCTTTCTCAATTCAAAATGGGTGAAGATACCCGACGCTTCGGTTACCCTAAAGCTAAACAAGATCAATATGCATTGTATCTAAGCAAATTGCATGTAGAATTCATAGAGTCATGGAACGAGAAGTTTGAGGCTAATGCGTCAAATTCGGATTTTGATACACACAAGGTTCTTGGGACAGGTGCTTTTGGAGTAGTATATCTAGTAAAACACTTATCTACTTCTAAATACTATGCAATGAAAGCATTAGAGAAAGAAAAAATTGTCAAACTGAAACAAATAGAGCACACATATTACGAGAAAAAGATTTTGTGTGGTCTTAATTTTCCTTTCGTGGTTTATATGAAATATTTTTTTAAAGACAATGTGTATATTTACTTTGTGCAGCCTTTTATAAATGGTGGTGAGATGTTTACTCACTTACGCAAGATGGGAAAGTTTGAAGAATCCTCTGCAAAGTTTTACGGAGCTCAAGTGATTCTTGCTCTAGAATATTTACATGCTTGTGAACTAGCATATCGTGATCTAAAACCAGAAAATATTTTAATTGACAGGACGGGCTATATAAAAATTACTGATTTCGGATTTTGTAAGTTGGTACCTGGAAGAACCTGGACTCTTTGCGGTACACCTGAATATTTGGCTCCTGAAATTATTCTCAGTAAAGGATATGGTTTATGTGTGGACTGGTGGTCGCTTGGAGTTTTGCTATTTGAAATGAGTGCTGGCCATCCACCATTTTTTGCACCAGATCCTATGAGAATTTATGAGAAAATCGTTGTTGGAAAGTATAAATGCCCATCTCATTTCTCAAATGAACTAAAAGATTTACTCGGTCATACTCTTCAGGTAGACACGACTAGACGGTACGGTAACCTTAAAGATGGTGTGTTGGATTTCAAGAACCACAAATGGTTTAAAGAAACTGATTGGGATAATTTGTTAAACGGACGTATAGAGCCTCCTTTTATTCCAAAAGTGAGATCACCATCAGATGCTGACAATTTTGATACATTTGAAGATGAAAAAATTAAAGAGAGTCCTGTATGTCTGTATGAAGAAGAATTCGAGGATTTCTAATTTTGTTGTAGGCTATAGAAACGTCAAAATGTAATAGTTATAATATAATAGTTAATTTTCAAAGCAGTATTACAAATAAGACTATATTTAGTTTAAGTAGAGCCTTAACTTTGTTTTAACTTATGAACTGGCAGGTAATTTTTATCTTAACTTTTCTCTTATATAATAAATAATTAAAATCTAAGAGTGTTATTCCTATTGTATGTCTTACATAAAGGAGTGGCGTTCAAGCTGATATACAGTACATATATCTATAGAAAAGTCTGGACGTGTTCTTAAATTACTAAGACTTATCAATCGAAATTTAGAAATAGGGTTTCTGATACACAGTTTTCTGCGTTACGGACCCGTTACACCACCCAATGACACCACCGGTAGTGTCAAGGGTATTATGCAATCCCCATGGTGGTATTATCAAAGTTATTATTCTTTGATATAATGACACCACCGAGTAACTCACAGAAATAAAGATGGATTAAGATATTTATTTAATTATTAAATATAATAAAAGTCAGCTGAGCCTAATTAGGCGGAAAGAAAATTTCATTTTAGATTTAATAAACACATAAAGATAACGTTGAATTATGTTTGTCAGACATTCATGATTTAAAGATTGTTTGTGTCACCTGTTGTCACCTGTGAAAAGAATTAAGAATTTAATAGACATTGGCGACTTAATTTTGCGAGTACAAATGCAGTTCATTACCAATGAGATCAGCTGCGGTCTTAAAATGTGATGTACTATTAGTAACATCATAGCAAAATGTTATGTTGATCTTTATGAGTTTATTTAATCTAAAATGAAAATTTACTTTCCTCCGAATGAGGTTCGGCTGACTTTAATTTTATTTTACACCATTTGTCATCTGCCAACATAGCGTAGTGGTTAAAAGTGTCGGTCTGAGCGCATCGATGCTTGTGGTCGAGGTTTCAAAACCTAGGTTGCGATATCGCTTTTTGTGACTGTTGTCAGTTTATTCTTCGTAACACACGACAATTTACTATGTCTAAACTGTCCCGTACACCTCCAAAACAACAAACGCCATCTCGATCCGAAACCGATATACATAAACTTTACTCTGAAGATCCAAGTACATTGTGCATTGGCTTAACGCAAAGATCTAAGCGGCGCTGTCCATCGAGTGAATATGAAAAAAAAGTGACGATTTGGCGGACTTCAAACAGGAAATTAAAGATATGATTCACGGAATGATATGCCAACAAAATGCTCGATTGGATCAATTGGAGACACATGTTGGAAATAAAAACCATAAATACAAAAATCGATGAAACAAACAAAGAAATTGAAAGAAGTATGTCTTATGTCACGTATCAACTTACTTGCCTGGACACAAAAATAACAAAATTGGAAGCAGAGCGTAATTTTACGAACAATAGAATTGTTATTCTAGAAGAGAAGCTTGAGTCCTTCAATAAGTCATTTCTTAAGACGAGTGTTGAAATACGAAATGTACCAAAATCTCAAAACGAAACCAGTAAAATGTTATATGATGCTCTATTGCAGTTATCTAAGCACGTAGAAGCTAATATTACATACGTGACGTCACTCGCCAGCCGTCCAAAAAAGAAACTCCCCGTTCATCACTGACTGTTGAGTTTACAAATACTCTAGTCAAAAGCAGATTTCTCACGACCATCAAGGAATATAACAAACGTAACCCTAGTCAAAAGGTGAATTCATCTCTCATGGGTAGAGGTGCTCCAACAGCACCGATTTATATTGCAGTACAGCTTACAACATACTCAAAACGACTTTTCTATCTGGCCAGGATTTGGGCCAAGGCAAACCAATACAATTTCTGTTGGACGAACAATGGTCGCGTAATGTTGAAAAAAAAACCCGGACAGTACTAATATTATTATAAAATCCGAATCTCAAATGAAGGGCCTGGCAGAAGTAAACAAAGCTTGACTGATACCACAACTTGTTTCTAAATTTTTTTCTAACTATAAATTGTATTATGCATGTTTTTTAATTTCATTCATAGTTAAGTTAATTTATGTATATATTAAGTTAATTTTCTATTTTACTTACAACACATATACACACTCGAATTTTTACACAACCTACTATGATGCACGCAATAATACTATACTTCAACACACTCACACTTATCCCTTTCACTGCACGCTGTCTGTTGTGGCTATTATAACAGTAAATCATCAGTATCTAAAAATTAAAGCCTTAATTGGTCATAAATTTTTCAACTTTATTATTGATTTAAAATGATTAACATTACGGATTTCATGGATAAAGTTGACTGCCTTTCTGTATCTCAAGTCATTACTTGCATTCCTGAACACACAAAAACTTTTATAAAACACCCAAATAACTATCTTAAAATCTTCACTCTCAACATACGATCTATTAATCGCAATAACCTAGAACTACAAACACTACTGAAGCGCCTCGATATCGACTGTGACATTCTGGTGCTGACGGAGTGTTGGCTTATTTACAGGGCCAATATTACAGGGCTTTGCCTCGTTTGCTACAATAACGGCCACATGTGAAGAGCCCAACTTTTGTGAAACGGCCTCTGGTCTGTTAATTACGTTAGACTCCATGTCAATAATCTGTGTATATCGCTCCCCTTCTAATCACCTAATTGACCCTTTCTTATCTGTCCTTAACAATATCCTATCAACCCTCAACAGGCATAAGTCTGCAGTAATAACAGGCGATATCAATATCGACATTAAACCTATGACTAACGACATACGCAGTCAATCTTACCTTACATTTTTGGCCTATCACGGTTTTCTCCCAGCACATGCTCAATCCACGCGAGACAAGAACTGCATTGACCACTTAATGTTGAGAACAAATTTTCAAACTATTACATTCCTCTTCGAAACGGCGGTAACCGATCACTACCCGACCTTGCTCTGTATAGCCAAAAACATAATTAAAGTAGCTAGTCCAAGGGAGGTTAGCAGGGTCGATTATGTTGCGCTTGACCAACTTATGGAAAATACAGATTTTTCACCCATTTTCTCCATGTCAGACCCAAATGATGCAACTGACAACTTTATAAAAATAGTTAAAAATGCTATAGCCAAATGTACATCTACTGTTAAACTCTCTGCTAGGAAAAGAGTGCTTAAACCATGGATAACACCAGGCCTCTTACGGTGTATACGACATAGAGATTTACTTCACAAAAAAGTTAAACAAGCCCCAGATGATATTACCATTCTCACCACCTATAAACGGTACAGAAAGTTTTGCTCAACTATTCTAAAAAAAGTAAAAAGGCAGTATGACACACAAGAGCTAATTAAGGCAAGTCACAGCCCCAAAAAACTCTGGGATTCTATTAAACTTATAACAAACACAAGCAAACCTACTAATATGTCAAACAAACTGTTATCACTCTCGACGTCACCTCAACAGTCTTGTAATAGTGTTAACCAATTTTTAACATTTTTAACATTGGAAAAAATCTCGCCGAAAAAATACAAAACACCTACACTTCATCAAGTACACCACCTAATTGCACTTCAAAGCATAATAATTCCTTCGTCTTAGAGCCAACAGACCCCGTTGAAATTTTGTCTGTGATAAACACACTAAGGGTGACTGCTGCTGTGGGTTGGGATGGTATTCCCTTGTCATTCCTTAGACGATATAATGTATTTATAGTGTCCTCATTAAACTATATTTTCAACCTCTGTTTTGAAACAGCTATTTTTCCTACCTCTTTCAAAATAGCCATCATTGATCTGATTTTTAAGGGTGGAGACGGACAGTCACCAAACAACTATCGACCCATAGCTGTACTTAGTGCTTTATCCAAGATACTTGAACGACTTATAAATAAGAGACTGAGCTGATCAGTCTCTTATTTATAAGTCGTTCAAGTAACAGTCATTCAGGTAGCTACCTGGAGCACTTTAAGTTGCTTTCAACCCAACAATTTGGCTTCCGTAGAAACAAATCTATGTGTGATGCAGTCCAAAATTTAGTTAATAGCATTGTGGAAAAACTTAACAAGAAAAAAAAAGTTCTGACTATTTTCTTGGACCTAGCCAAGGCCTTCGATACTGTGCCAATTTCTACCCTCATAATCAAACTTGAAAATGCAGGAATCAGGGGCCCACCACTAGAACTACTAAAAAGCTACCTAACGAATCGGACACAACTTGTTAATATCAACAACTACATTGGCGATGAACTTTCCATCCATTACGGTGTGCCTCAAGGAAGTATCTTAGGCCCTACTTGTCTTTATTCTTATACTTTCTTCTTTATACTTCTTGTCTTTATTAACGACCTTTGTAACTTAATCATTCCACACGCAAACATTGTATCTTTTGCAGACGACACGGCCATAACTTTTCATGCAAACACATGGTCTGAACTTGAAACTGCGGCTCAAGGAGGTTTCTGTACTGTTTTAACCTGGCTTGCCTCACACACTCTAACTCTTAACACTACCAAAACAAATTTTATGACTTTCTCGCTTACCCCACTATCTCAACCTAAAAACCCTATAAATTTAATAGCTCACTATTATCAGTCTCAACTTCAACTGAATTGCAAATGCCTAGCAATAACTCCAGTGAACCAAATTAAATACCTCGGCATTATCTTGGATAAACACCTTAAATTTAGACAACATATTGACACTCTCTCGGGACGCGTTCGTAAACTAATATATGTCTTCAAAAACTTACGACACGTAGCCAATCAAGTGGTTATCCGTAACGTGTATTATGCACTCTGTCACTCCATAATAATTTATTGTATTCCTTGCTGGGGAGGTGCAGCTAAAACAATTCTAAGACCACTGGAAATAGCTCATCGTGCTATTTTAAAAGTTGCTACATTCAGGCCTATTTTATTACCAACCGAGCTTTATAAGAAGTGCAATTTACTCAATGTGAGGCAACTATTTTTATTACACCTAACAGGATTACCACACCGTCTCACACCGCTTTTACCGATTAACAAACGTCGTTAAGACCGAATTTGT